TTTCCTTTTTTTGATTTGATAATACAATCAAAATTACAAATTCGGATATAAATTTTGAAAAATTAGCTTACCAAAAAATATACGATTGCAATATGATAAATTAGAACTGAATATTTTGGAGAATACGGAAGTTATTAAAAAATTTTAGTTTTTGCACAACCTAAACGGGTTTCATTACGAATACATAGTTGGCTACTTTTAATCCCATTCATTTCAATGCAATGTTACAGTTTCATGCCTATTTTATTCTTATCTGTAGTGTTAATAAATGCAACCATTTAATTTTAAATTGCAAATAAACTATTGTAATTGTAAACCAAACTGTTTAAGTTGAGTTAATGGGATTTTTCGGACAGTACTGCACCAATGTGCTCTCACAAATGCGCCACATTAATCAATTTCGGATGAGCAGAACGCCACGCGCTTTAATAAATAATGCATGGTGATCCTGTCCAGATGTAAAAAGACGTTTATAGGCAATTAATGTTCCGTGGTTAATATCTGGGCGGCACTAGTACAAAGAGAAATCAGTTCAGTTACAGCCTCACCACCGCATTGTCAATGACATTAACTAAGCGACTGAACAATTTATAAGAGACAGTATGGACCGTTAACTTGTTATTCCCATAATTAGTTGAGACAGACCGCCAAACTCATTAACACTGACCAGAACACTGAACGATTAGATCCACTTCACGAAAACGCCACAGCTGGTAAAAATGCTCACTTAGAAGATCTTGCTTCTCGCCGACGCACAAGAATTAACGACGGGAACAAACGGATGCACCGGTCTGTAGGCAAAGACAATTACTTCTTCAAAGGTCTACGAGGACATTTGGGTGCTGTGAACATACCCTGCACGATTAGGCTGCGATGAACAGCTGGTTAGCCGTAGCTCGCAACGCTACTGATATCCCAGTGTAAATGCAAACGGCTATAAATTTAGCCGGCTGTTCATCGCAGCCTAATCGTGCAGGGTATGTTCACAGCACCCAAATGTCCTCGTACCGATAAATGCAACTTGCCCAAACTTAATCATCAAATTCCTTCACAGCAAATAAATTGCCGAGATTAGGAATTAAACAATTTTGGCGTGCCCAAAGCATTCTGTTGATTCACTAATCACTAACAAACCAATCAAATGAGACACTCAGTGAACACGATGTGCAATATCATTACCGCCAACGGTATTTCTACAAACTCTGAAAGAAGGAAAAGACAGCCGTGTTCGACACCGCATTTAGTATCGAACTGATTTGTGAAAACTTTTCGTACCTGATACAACTTCTTGTTATCAAAAATGTCTAAAGTTCCCATCCTTCTCCGCGTCATCTGCTTCATCCTGTTACCATTTCAGGTAAATATGGAAAAAAACCTTTAATTTTAAAGCGTTGTGGTATGTTTTCTTCAATAACCCCACGGTTTTGAAATAACTTAAAACGATTTGTTGTGGTACCTCCAATAACATGTACCTTCTGCAGGTCAAACTAAAGATTACGATTTCCAACAATATCTTCGGAGAAGCCATCTTGATAAACCAGCGATGTTATTGCCGCAGAATTGATCGCCGCTCTTATCCGACGTACGTAGAAGCTACTATAGCAACTCCTCCATCCCGAAATTCGCGGGAGCTGTTCAAAGTCGGCTTTGGGCTACGCCGACAGCCATGTCCATGTACATACGAATAGGTAATAACATATGAATATGTGGTGGTCTAAAATTGCTAAATAATTTAAGTTTTTTAACGTTTATTTACCGTTTAAGCTAAAAAGCAATTTCATGGTTCAACGAATTTAGTCAAACTCGTTTTTCTTTTCACACGTTTTAAATAAGAAGTGCGGCATATAAAATATGGGTAACCAATTACTAAATGCCGCTTCACCGATTTTTCCCAAACGATTCTCCAAATTGACGGTTCTTGATACTACAGTAATTACACTTGTGTTTCTGCTATTGTCTAATTTACTTAGGTTTAGTTTAATATAATTTCGTAAATAACCGAACTTACTTTAACTCCATCTTGCAGACAATCAAATTTTCCATCGCCTTTACAATGGACTGCACATGATGGCTGTGCTTATTAATCTATAATCCCATTTTGCGCCGCCGATTAATAGCGTACGCATTGCTACAAAGTCGTTTGCATAATCCCATTTTCCATCGGACACCACGGAATCCACCCGTTTGGAAATATTATCGATCTGTTATCAGTCTACATCCGAATCACCTCTAAGTTACATAACAGGCTGGTTATAAATTTTAAACATGCTCTTTGCATACCAAAACACCTCAACTAATTTTGTTGGCGTGTGTCTGCGTTTGCCTTTTACGATTATTTTTTGTGTATAAAGGCTGTTTCACAAGTGATAAATCAAAGTCATTTGATGTAAAATGTCATTAAAATATAAATTCTAAACAATAAGGTGAAAGTAGTTTACATAATACATGCAAAACAAGAGGGAAAATCTTCAACAACAAAGATGTTTTAAATAACGTGGAAGAGCATGCTTTAAGTTATTGGTTTTTATTCAACCGCAATTCCATGCACATTAGCAACATACTAGTTAAGTAAAAATACATCTGCGTAACTAAGAAATGATAGCAAAACAAAAGTAAAAAACACAAGCGCAGTGCGTCTCTTGACAAACACACCACTACTAACACACTGGTACAAGAACGTAAGTAACATCGCAAAAACCGAATTACGGATGGTAAAAAGGTCATCACTTTAACGTATCCTTAATACATCTGAAGAATATATAAGTACTCAATCTAGAATCAATTTCTGCCTTTTCGAGTATACCGCCTAATTTTCCCACAACGATATTCCTGATATAACTTCCGAAGAAGTACCTTCGCGCGATTCGGTATGTCGGAAGCTTTGAATCCATATGGTACGTATTTAAAAGTAACATTTCTCTGGTTAGTTAACTTCTTCAATCCGATGTGACGAATTAAGCACGCCTCTGCAGTCAGGGCAGCTCCTGACGAAGAATTTTCGCATGCGGAAATAACAGTAACCGCCCCGCCATCCCGCCATACTTGTTGAATTCTCTCGACTTTACGATTCCGCTTCAAATCAAGGTTTTTGAACAAAAAAGTCAATAAAAACATTTACTAAAATTCGCATTACGTACCTTAACGACGAAGGGTTTCCGAGCCATCCTCATGTGGGCACCGGGTCGATCATAATTGTTTCCATTTCTTGAACCTTTCCCTGTGTAAAAAACAGAAGCAACAAATCTGTCAAAAGAGACGTGAAAATCTTTCAAATCGCAAAGAACATAAACATAGTCATATTGACAAATAAATAACAATCAAGACAGCCAAATATTGGTCAATCAATAATATCAAAAAACGTAATAATTAAAATCCTCAGTTTTCAGTAAAACTGACGAATGTATTTTGACTTTCATGATTAAAAATAAATCCATTAACCAACCACACAAACCTCCTGGTTGACCGCATAACATCCAGGGACCAGAGCTTAGACTATTTGTGAATGTGAAATTACTCACATTCGTAAACTCAGCTACAACAATATCCATTTCCGTACACCTGATAGCCTCACTGATATCGACCCACAAAATCGTCTGCAGAAGTTAAACTTCCGACCCAAGTTGACCGCACGACGTCCAGGGACCACAAGATTTACCGTTACGTACTGTACCATTACTGACACAATATGGATTTGTAAACTGTAGTAATACAATATGGAAATATCCTCTAGGTGCAATTGATAAATACCCTGCTAACTTCCGCGAAATTGTCTCCACAACTTCAGCATCGCACACAAGTATTGCCGAATAAACAGTGCCACGATTTCTATTGTCTGTAATGCCCCCAGTTTCGTGCAGTTGGGTAATGTAGAATCATTTCTCCTAATACAAAATTTTGCTTTCTTGAAATGTTCTAGCAACAGGTGCCACACAACAGAAGACGTGCCCGGTGCCCGCCCACTTCAGACCTAACAAACATTAAAAAATTTTAACCTTAGAACCGCTAAATCATTTTATCGGTTGCTTTAGTACGCATTAAACCCTACGCTACAAACCATTCCTCTGCCACATGTCGTATCACATTCGCAACTGTACAACCTGCTGGATTACGGCTCCTGGAGATTTACGTTTCGAATTGCAAACCTGTTCAGTGAAGTATAAGGTTGTTCTTATTATTTTCTTGATCGCACACATGCCGTGTTGGTTTGTGTTGTTTCACTTGTTTGCGTTTCCGATTGGGGCCGCGGCTACGCTTTGGGAGTGTTCGGCGCGGCTCGTCTCAACGGAAGTCGGCGAGCATCGGCTCCGTTCAGGTGCGACCGTTTGGAGATCGTCCGCTTTCAAGTACTTGGCCCGACATCCTGAAAGAGGCAAATAAACGGCCCAAATACCTGCAAATAAACAGGTATTTGCAGTTTAATGTTCTTGAACTACGATAATACATGACCTATCCTTCCGGTGTATGTCTTGGGAGGAGTGATCTAATCCGAATAAGGCAAAGGCGTCATTAACATTCGAGTGCCAATGCTGCATACCAAAAAATTATTTCCAAATTCCCATAACATTTCAAAATTCGCCTTTTATCTAGGAAAAACCTAAAGGTCAATTCTTAACTTCGAGTGGCTTCAGTTTTACTGAAATTTTGTATGGCAGGCCAAAACCCACGCTAGCACGAAGAGTGATGGCACGAAATTACGAACTTGTAAACTGAAAGCGTCCCAAATACCTGCAACAGATGTACCGTAATCATATAACAACCAAACTCATTAAGGTAAACATAAATTAAGTGCGAATTTACACTCCGCACCCTGCAGTTTTGATCTTTTCCCTGCGCTATATGACCCAAGTCAAAACTGTAGGGTAACATGGCCAGTAGTCCCTATACCGTATGAATATACGGCAGCCTATTCCCGGGAGGCGGAAACTAATGCAATGGTCTGTTTCAGCAATCGGCTTGCCATCGCACAGCTACCATCCAGACCAGAAACAATGCAGCGCAATAAAAACTGCGTCACTTTTGGGTCGAAAACAACTCGTCTCTCGGCTCTGTACCGCATTTTGAATCGTCTGCATAATTATTTCCTTTGATCTTACTGTCGTTTTTGTTGCGACGAATCATGGCATCCTGGCACGGTAATCTCGTAATCTTGAAATTGTATAATATTTGGTTGTGGCACGGCAGGTCTTGCTCGTCCACCTGTTTATTTTTATCGATTTTATCACTTCAAAAATATAAGTCCATCCCACAAACTAAACATGCAATTTGTTTAGAAGGTAGTGATCGCCTGAAAAAAATCAAGGAAGAACGCCTACGCCTCAGCGAAGAGGTGCTGGAACTGTTGGAAAATGTTTTTGGACAAAAAGCGAAGAACCTGGGAGACGAAGGTACATTCCCTTTCCTCCTGTCTCAGATAGTCCCTTTTTTGCTAGTTTTTTAATTATTTGAATGTTTTGCCGTTGTTCAAGCTCGCTTCAATAAATTCACACATTTTATCTTTTATTCTGGACTTTTTAGTCCGCGTCCGCTGTAATATTGTTATTACTTGCTGTCACTAGCTGTATTAATAATCTCCTGGTTTCAGTATGAACAGTGTACGAGCAGGTTTGTATCCCAAGTTTTTATTGTAATTTCATTTTTACAACCGTTTTCTCCTTTTCTTAATAGGTTTGACGAGGCGGACCACATGTACGAACCGCTGATACAGCAGGATGAAACCGACACAGTACGAGACGGCATGAGCATCATAATAATCCCTTATCCAATCTCCAGTTTATGAATAAAATACGTTATGTTCGAAATCATGCGAATTGCTCATTGCTAAAAATTGTGTCCGATCATGCCCAGGAGCCTAATGAGCCAAAGGATAATGAAATTGGCGTTTGTGCAAGATGATAACAGCTTGTCGCGCGTGCCGAACCAGTATGCAAAGGCACAGCTTCCCAAATGAGATCGGATACGTGTGATTACGATCGCGATTGTATATGATTATTTTTACTCTTCAACAACAGTTTGACTCTTATTTTTTGCCTTTCTGCGAATTCTGGAATTATTGTTGGTATATCAATACTTTTATGTTAATGTAGTGGGATTTCATTGCAATGGAATTTGCGTCTGTAAAAGAAGATAATATTTTCGGGAAAGCGGCTCTGCTTCGTGTACTGTGTTTACTGCAGAGTTATTTGTGATTTTGAAGGGTTATCAGAGCTAGTTACGACGAAATGTTTTCGCAGGTTATTACTAATAGATTTTGGTATAGATAAGTTGCCAGTATGTTAAGTTATCTACACTTTGTCCAGTGCACACGCCGCTGGACAACTTCAGACTGGGAATTATTACCACAAATGGAACACCGCAATAAAGAGCTGAGTCATTACCTTAATATCGAAATATATTCAAGTAAACACAATAGCTATAGAAGTAGACGAAAAAACAGCGGTATGTACACGCAGGACATTATCTTATCCATGTAAACAACACCAGGTGAAAGCGAAAGGGGGTGGAAACCGAGTCCTTACCGTACCATTTGTCAAAACTGCTGCCATTTACATTCAAAAATTAATAAGTACTCGTACTCGTACTTGTACAAGTACGAGTACTTTTATCTGTAATTCGGTTTCTACGGCAAACTACATATTATATTACAGCGTTTTAACATTGTACTCGTACACGTACAGACATTGTATTATTATAACTATTTAATTTGTGCGTTATTTCGGATTTTTATTTGGTGGTACTGTACCTAAGAACTGTCATAATTATTGTGCTGCTACCCTGCACTTCTCCATTTAGTTCGCAGTGCATGCGCACGTACGTTGTACGAGCGCTGTTCACGATTCACGTACACGGCCTGCAACTGCGTGCAGACTGCAGGCAGCTGACTGAACGTGAGCGGCTTTAGCTCTCACTCGCCTACAGTACAGGGGGCTCATACCGTACAAAAGTCTGGTCAAGTGCAGTGTAGCAGTACAGTACTTCGATGTAATACAATACCTGGATTGTAATTTATTCTCCAGATCACAGCTTTCGTTTGTTTTTGTTAGATTGTTGTTGCTTATAGTTGTAAACTGTTAGCTAGTTCCATATCCCCATTAAGGAATGATGATTAATGGCTTCTTTGTTCATTTCTTCATTGCGAAATTTTTTGCTTAACCTTAGAATCCATTGCTAACAGCCAGGTATGGGCCGTATCTTCCTGGAGCATCCGGGCATCCTGCTGATCCATGCAATTAATCGTAACCTGCTGCACACCAACACCGATACGTTCTAATTTCCATTGCGCAACATACGACTGATACAACCAACACCAAACTGCAGTCCAAACTGCGGCTGGATCCGGCGTTGGCCATTCCTTTGGCTTTGCCGCCTCTACCGCATCCAGTCATCATGAATCTCCATATACGACAAGTAGACAAAAAGTAGTAGTAGTCAACCAACGTTAGTAAAAAGTAGGAAATAGACAACCAACGATGTACCACTGTCCCCAAGCTTTTATACCTCATTCTGTGACGGTTCAAAGGTTTTAATTACGTCACAGGTAAGTTTTCGGGGAAGCGAGTTGCGGTTTAGACTATATAACTCAATACCTCAAAAATCACTTGTGTTAAGTAAAATATTAAAAATTATTTTCATAGGTTTCGTCTGGAATATCAATATAATTGTACTTAGTACCAATAATACCTGCACTTAGCCAAAAGAACACGTTCTTTTGTTACCAGGTACACGGCGGGGACGTGGCAGGCAGTGTACCCAAACCTGGATACCTTTGTACGCGGGCATCGTAACTCAGTAGGTATCCAGGCCGGCCGTAAGGACCTTAGTGCCCGATATGATATATCATTGGAAAACATTTTTATGCTTAAAGATTTGCTTTAGGATTATAACCAATAATTACAACTTTTATTAATGTCATATTCCACTGCATCATTTATTTCTTTTTCGCCAAGTAAGGCGACTGTTGCTTGTTAGCTAAAAACTGCTGCATATTCTTAACATAGGGTTTCAAATTGCACTCTTTCATCTTAAAGTTCAATTCGTACTCGTGCCTTGTAAGACAAGCGTATTCCAACAGCTCATTACCAATCTGATTTGGCACGTTTCTAAAAAAAATATCACTTGGTTGCCCCCTGTTTTGGAACGTCTTCCACTTTCCTAAGCCGTCCTTTCGTTTACATTTTTTCACAAATTCCGTATCGAAATTTTCAGCGCCATGTCCGTATTTCCGTTTTTTAAAAAATGCAGCAGGGTAGGCTGTTCCCGGCAAGCGCAGAATCTTAACCCACGGACACGTAGTCATTCTTGCCAGAGCCGCTTCGTCGGTCGGATAAGACAATTCCTATTAATAACACAGTACATTACTACTGTATAATATGTTTACCAGTATTTATTTTTTTGTTAGTTTATCCCCAAATGTCAGGAAAGCCGCCAGCTCTGACCTACCAAGGTCTCTGTTTTAAGTTTTTTAAGCGATAAAAGTTAAATAAACGAACATTACCGTGAGGTAAGCCCCCTTAGCTTTTTCTGTGAGGTCGTAGAACGGGGTCACAGATTTGCAGATACCAAGTTGTATAAGTACTTCTGGAAAACGCAATACTAATCGAAATCTAGTAATCATATAATACTGAAGCATGTTGCACAAACCGTTTGCCATTTCCAAGACTTCAATGGCTCTGTTTTCAAATGCGATCTGATATATCGTTACAAAACATTCAACCATAACATGGCTGACGAACGCTAGCCTTGACATTTTTATCCCATGTTTACTGCTCCGAGTGCAGAAAATGTTAGCGGCGGTGGTCAAACTCCGCGCCAAACGCTCTCGCTCTTCTGATTCTAAACTGTAAAAATATTTATTACGATAGTTTAACCAATAATTTATCTGAACACCTACATGTATTCATCGTTCAATTTGATCAAAAATGTCTCCGCTTCTTTCGACATCCGAAATTTCTTCCCATTAAAAACGCTCTTGGCCATTCGTAAAGCGGACTTCATTATAATTCCCATATCAATATTTCCATTTTTCAATTGCTTTGCAGAACTGCTAACGAGTTTTGCGGGAACTTGAGACTTAGCCCCACCAACAACCAACTGTCTACTGACAAGCCCGTCCATAACCCCCAGTTTCGAATTAAGCAATTTCAAAAACCCATCCGGATGCAGCACCAAGAGGCTGTTAAAGTATATATCTTCAGTTTCCTATTACAGAAAAACAGGTTAAATAGCGTCCCTTGGTAAGACGGGTACTTCCAACTTGGACATACTAAAAAACCATTTCTGCCATCTAAAGACGACCATTTACATCCGTTATGCATCTGTAGCATAAAATCTTTTATGCCACTCTCTTTATTGCTGAAAACTTTATGCGCGGCCTGCTCAAAGTCATCACAGTAGAGCAGAATGTTTTTTCGACATTCCCCTGTGGTATCTGAACCAAAAACCAAATTTTGCAGACCGGCTTTTGTTGGTGCCCGTATCCTGAAGAAATCATCCCAGGAAGATTATTACGATATTAGACACTTATACATTTATGCGAGAGGTTTATTGCTTTATATTATATAACGGGTTAAATACCCATTTGGATATACCTTGCGTAATTGTCGTCTTCGCGCATAACCTCGTCAACCCAATCAAAAATATCCATTGGGCCGGTTTTCCCGCACCCATTTGGCCCGACCACAAGCAGACTTAAATTCAGCTTTGTCGTCTTCAGTCCAAAAGGTATCTTAAGAAAAACTACATTATTATTTTCACCTACAACGCCAACGCTTTTTCTATCCTATTGAAAAAGTGTCGTCGTACCTCAAAAGCAACAAAATACAAAGATTCGAACTATTTATTCAAAATCGATTTTATTCCTCCTTTATTCGAAATATAATTTGTTGGTCTTTTCAAACAAAAAAACTGAAATCGGAGAAACAGCTTGGGTATTAACTTACGGTCTACTAAACTCTGCGGTTAAAAATGTTTTATAACTACTTATACATTTATGTATTTATTTCATTTTATAAGCACAAAATCTAAGGAACATAGAACGAAAATCTGAATTTTCTGGACACGGCGGATGCCTATTAATATATTATGCCTCATACAACCTCAGCGCTGCATTTGTCAAGCACAACAGCGAACGCGGAAGCCATCACCGCGAAGAGTATTTCAGGTGTGCTCCCTACTGCCTTGGCATACAATTGCAATATATTCCCTGTTAACGATTAACTTTAGTAATTTGATTATCTGTTTTATGTTGTGGAATCTAGTTACCATATGTCCTCCCGAAAACTTTTCTAAGGTCGAATGACGCATTAGCACACTTGGTAGCCGCCGTATAGCAGGAGACTTTAAAGGCACTGTTCCGGGTGTTGGGCATTGTAGTATTTGCGCAGGTTTAAAAATTCATATCCTAAAGTACGTAAAAGTACAGTTGCGCAGAAATAGTACGCTCAAAAAAAAACTACTACGCTGGTAAACAACATTACAAATCCAAAACCCATGTGCCGCGCAGAAGCTCCGCACGATTAGGTATTAGATTTTCTAGTATACGTGTATCAATTTACTAGTATATGTCTATCAATTTACTAATATATGTCTATCAATTTACTATTATATGTCCATCTCCTACAAGATGATAGTACAGTACTAAGGTATTGCGCCGCAGCTCGCTAGCAATCAAAGACCTAAGTCTGTACATGGACCTAATGCAGTAATACCCAATTATTATACCTAATACCGTGCCGCGAAGAAGCTGCGCACAATTAGGTATTAGATTGGCATTACGTCTACAACATACAGCATTAATTTACTAGTATATGTCTATCAATTTACTAATATATCTCTATCTCCTACAAGCTGGTAGTACAGTACTAAAGAAATGCACTGCAGTTCGCTAAGACTGAAAGACCAAAGTCTGTACATGGACCTAATGCTAAATGCCAATTATTATACCTAATACCGTGCCGCGAAGAAGCTGCGCACAATTAGGTATTAGATTGGCATTACGTCTACAACATACAGCATTAATTTACTAGTATATGTCTATCAATTTACTAATATATCTCTATCTCCTACAAGCTCGTAGTACAGTACTAAAGAAATGCACTGCAGTTCGCTAAGACTGAAAAACAGACGATGATACTACAGTAATACTATTATATATCGT